TGAAGTTTGATAGGAACTATCTGCGATCTATCTGCGATTCCCCCCCTTATCTATATTATTTTTATGTTATGAATATAAGCCTTGTTCCATGTCCACGATTTTGATAAGCTCAAACTTCATGGCAAAGTGAGGCCCCCTATATGTTTACAACAATACTCGTAGTTTGGTGACACTTTTTTTAAGATTTCCCTTGCGTCTGTAGGTCTATTATGTATGTCTAGTCTGTAGATAAGTTGAAGTGAAACATAACCAAAGTACAATGTATCTTTTCTCGTTAAACACTTATCAGATCGTTAAGAAGCATTTGTGTTGCAAATCCTAAACTAAGATATTAAATAAAAGATGAAGAGTGAAATCAGCCTTCAACGGGTTGCTTTTCGGGTAACCTTTCGTTAACCCGCCGCTAAGAGCAAAGGCACTTCAATTACTCTGCCGCTCTTTCGCTTTTTCTTGCTCTCACCATCACCACTGTGTCTCTGAAGTGCCATCGGAGTACCCGAGAACAAATGTTAAAGCATTTTCTTTCTGCCATGTTTCCCGCTCCTACTCTGACGGCGATGCTTCTGGGCTGCCGTGACGCGACTGACGCGTATTTTAGTGGTCGCCAACAGAGGCCCACCCTAGGGAAACATCGCCACTTTCGTCAAGTGTATATTCGCCAACAATATATATACTTTATGGGGTCGGAAACGCTTCCTTCTGTGCGTTACATACAACCGTTATTCCACACAAATACAATATACCCTATTTACTCTTGGAGTATATATATCTTCAAGTATATATATTCTTGATCAGCATCAATCGCCGAGTCGATAGAGCCATGTCTGTCTGTCCGTCTGTCCGTCCGTCCATACTCTGCAATTTAAGCGTTGCGGCGAACACAGGCTCTAATAAGCTCACGAGATTCTTAATTTCATTCCAATCAGATGAAGTAAGAATAACGGGACTGCTTAAGTGCTCGTAGCAAAAGTCCTCGAATTTCATCAATGTATTGAGCATTGTAAATGTGGAGTTTCAGCGAGTAGAAACATCCAATTGCGGTCTTGGCAATGAGTTAGCTGATATTAGAGACCTTACAAAATCCAAATTGATTAGTTGCAATATAAAAAAGTGGAATGCAACACTCACCTGTATGCCGGTGTTCTTAGAATCTTAACAACTTTCCGAGCTTTCTCAATAAAGGCAAGGGAATCTACGTGTTTGTAGAAATCTTTGACAGCGAGCTGCAGTGTATGTACAGCACATTTTACTGACGATATTGAGAATATATTGGCGTCCCTTAACAGTGCCTCGTCATCCAATTGCTCATCTGATAAATCCAACTCTCCACTGTCATCTACTGATGGCGAACAATCACTTAATAGCTCCACTGCCTTTATCATGTTGCGGCCATTGTCTGTTGTTATATATATTGGTATATTTGCTCTTTTCTTATATTGAATGTATTTAAAATACTTTCAACATGGCCACAAACATTTTCAGATGTTTGGGATTCTTTAAGCTCAATTAGTCCGAGCGTCTTCACACAAATATCACCTCCGAAGTAATGCCCCGATTCAGCCTAGTGGCTGTGTCCATTTTCAGGCATAGCACTCGGTCCGTCAATGTTGCCATGATTTCTAATTTTATTTTCTCGTACTTTGCATCTACCAAGCCAATAACTTTTTTTGACGTAACTGCAGGCATTTTCAGGCCACTAAAAATCTGGCTTGAAAGAACTTCGAAGCTCTCTGAATTGAGTACGGAAAACTGCATTTCTTGAGCGGTCACGAGATCAACGCATGCATCCTTCACCTTACTTGGGCACATCGTCACTGAAAATTTAACTTGTTTTTCTGGACTTTCACTCTTCTTATCCGCCAATTCGCTTGCATATTCTTTGTGGTGCTGCTGTTACAAATGAAACTGTTCCTTTGAAACACGCTTTACACAGTTTGCACTCCGAAATATTACTTTCATTGTTAAAAGTAAAAAAATTACGCGACACACAATTACGCTTGCGACCCATGTTAACAACGCGAAAAGAATGACCAAAGCAACTGATGCACCAATGCACCAAGGTTTGACTTAAGATAAGCTTCATAAATACATAATTCATCATCATTCATCAATTCATTTATACTTGTTTATAATGCGTGAATTTCGCTTTCCAAATAGATATCACATGCTAAATTTGGGTGATGGAAAGCTGCAGGTGAGTGGATCGAAACAAAGCAATGCCCTGCATGCTTCGGGCTGTTCAGAGAGGACGCACTTAGATCTTATTTGCGAGACTATCATAAGTACAAGTATGAGGGGCCGAAAGAGCACTCGCACTCTGTGTCGTAATAAATTCAATATTCCTTTTTGTGTATTATCGTAAGCGTTTCCGACCCCATAAAGTATATAGATTCTTGATCAGCATCAATAGCCGAGTCGATAGAGCCATGTCTGTCGGTCCGTCTGTCCGTCTGTCCGTCTTGTTTGTCGGCTAGTTCTCAAAGACTATAAGAGCTAGAGCCACCAAATTTTGGATCCAGACTGCTGTATGCTCACACTGAAACCAGTGTATTTAAAAAATGAGCAACGCCCCCTTCCACCCCGGCAAAAGGGCGAAAACCTACCAAACCTACAATTTTGAAGATAAAAAAAAACTAAAAACGCCATTCCGTAGGGAATGGCCATATCTATCAGATCACCAAATTGGGATCCGATTGGATCATTATTATAGCCACAATGGAGAAATTAATTTCCAGTGGCTAAACCCACCCTGTCCCGCAGCTTTTCTTGTTCTTTTCACATTCTCTCATTCACACTCTGCTTCTGCTTCACTCGGCCCCTGCCTCTGCCCTCCCCCTGCCGATGCCTCATCCGAATTTTAACCCACCCCCTCCCACAGCTTATATTTGTTTTTTTTGTTTGTGTGCGGGCGCTGCACTTCTGCATTATGCGGCCTCTGCCTCTGCCATACCTCTGCCTCGGCTTCTGACGCGTCTCTGCAGTGGCTCTGCACTGTGTGTCTCTAGGGGAGGCTGGCACCCTAAGGGAGTGTGCTTGCGTGAGAAGTGTTGTAGATGTAGATGACAGTTGAAGAAAAAATGTAAAATTTGACAAAAACCGCTAAGGTACAGATGTAGTACTGAGTACCGGGTATACAAGTTGTGACGCGTAAGAAGCGTCTCACACGTCCCTTCTTGTTAACATGGTTGATTTGAGACAGGGACATGTCTAATAAGACATCAATAAAGTCATCTCGTGACATGGGCACAAGGTTATTAGACTCGTATATTAAGACATCCGCAGTCGGTGGAATATACGAGTGTTCGAATAATCTATTTTTCTTTAACCATACTAAGTGCAAGCCTATGGCTTTTCACCCCGTGCACCAGATTTTGTCTCCTATTCTCTAGGACACCATGTTCTGGATCGATCTCGACATCAAATAATTCGGAGTTATTTTCGATCACAAGCTATGTTTTAATAGCCATATTGCTTCAGCGGTTAACAAAGCAAAGGGAGTCCTAGCGTTTATTAAGCACTAAAACGCGGTACGTCTCGTTGGTACGCCCGATTTTGGAGTGTTGTTCTTCTTTGTGAAGTCCTCAATACAAGAAGTAACACTTTCTTATTGAATCCGCTCCAAAACAATTTATGATATTCGCCTTAGAAATCTGAACTGGGACTCTGACAGACTATTACCACTATACCGATATTGGCTAAAATTAGTGGACCTCTTTACACCGTCGCTTTTGGGACAGATAGATTTTACAGTTCCCTCCATCTATTATTTATTATCTATCTTGCATAGGACAAGGCTCTGCCGCGGCGCTGCCGCTCAAGTACACGCATATTACATTGATTCGTACCGCTGTCCATAATTGGCAGTTAATTCTTAATTGAAAATACATAAATAAATAAATACCATATCAGTCCACAAATGTATAGTCAAATATTAATATATTTTATTTTATATTTAGTTATTCATTAGTTGTCCCTTCGCAAAGGAAGAAACTTTTCAAATTCCCTTAACAAAGCAAGGGAGCTTTCATGCTGCGAAATTTGTATCAAAAACTAAGGTGTCGACAACAGGTAAATAGGTCACAAAAATTTCAGTGGCGCCAGGTAATTTACACCGGCGTTTTTAACCCTACGTGATGGAAATTCTCCAGGGAAATCCTCTCCTGTCAGAAGCTCTCGCACGCACTATTAGGGATCCTTTCAACCGGTGCGAAAAAGGTGGGAGCCTAACAAAAGCTCGACCTTTTTTACCTGCTTGCCATACCTTGCCATCACATGCCAAAGAGAGGATTAGGTCAGCAAGATCCTCTCCTCATTTTTTGGTTTCAATATGAGCACCGAAATCCCACAGAGATATACCAAATATAATATACGTTCATACTTACATAAAACGTATTCTTCACTAATTTCCTCGAATTGTATGTTCTATTTGATAAAACTAGCTAGTGAGGAGTCTCCGCGCTAAAACTATAATTTTAGTATGGGCTAAAGTAGTATATTATGGGCACTTGTGTACCCTATTTGCTATACTTAATATGAAAGTTCAATTTTACCAGCTGCTTTTAAACAATGACTTTGTCTTATACTGACATGCTTTTAACCTTTACATACATTTTACATTTTATATATATACACATGTACTATAACCGACGTAGATACATTTTCGGTATCTCCAAGGGTACTAAATGTAGCTTATTCCGTGACAATGTTGCTGGTAATTATGGTCGTATGACACTAAACTTCAAAAACTTCATCGGACAGAGACAACCTTGTTCAGTGAAAAGCGTGAGATATATGGATTTGTGTTGAAAATCTACTTTTCGGCATAAATGGAATCACAGACACTAACCCCGCAAGTTCCAGGCTCTCCCGAAACTTCTATAAGCAGTATGTTAATCGTTCAGACGGCCATTCCATTAGGCTTGTGGAGTGATAGGTCGATAGATGCTATCTATAACTCAATTGAGCGCGTGTTCGTGTTAAACTGTTTCATCTGTTTGTACCTTAAAAAATGTATTTCAGCCTAGATTGTATTAATATGTATTTACAATAAGCCAAACTTAAACTAGCGCCTAAATATGTACTTAAGATATATCTAATAAAATCACACATGCTTATTTCTGAAATGAAAAGCACACACAAATGGAAATCTGTGTGGCCCAGAGTAGCCCGGTCCGAAAATGCAGCAGGCAGTCGCCAATCAAACTTCCGTATTGGATGCCATGTTCGGTAGGGTCAGAGGGGCACCGCGGACGAGGGTGGTGGTTGTTGTTGTTGGGCTCTGCGCGGCATGCGATGTCGAGGGTTCCGGCTCCATCGTGATGACTGTGAGTGGTGTCGCAGCCACCGACACCGCCATCGCCGCAGCATCGGCATGCGGATCAGACTCCGAATATGGCGGAGCTGGCAAAGCCGCTATCCCAATGGGGCTGGGGACAGCCGAGGGCGAGTGTGACGCCGCAGCGGCCGCCGTTGGCGTTGTCAGGTTACACATACGCATCACCTCGTCATAGCTGGGCAGCTCCTTGTCGTCCTTTTCCAGCTGGCTGCGAATGCGTGCCGACTCCTCGCTGCTCGGCTCGATGAAGAATATATCGCCATAGCGGTTATGCGGCCGCTCCTCCGAAGCGTTCAACGCATTGCCCTGGCGGTCTGAAAGAGATGAGGAAATAACAATTAATACGACAGTCCATATCGCTCCACACGATCAGCGAGAGTGTACCAAGCTGGCGCAGTCGTCGGTTCTGTGCCACGGAGTCGTGCATGCGCTTTGCCAACTATCAAATCAAAACAAAACGAAATCGAAAATAAATCAATTACGGGCCCATTGTTACTTGACTCTCTCCCTCCGAGCGAGCCTCGGGCCTCGAGCAATGAATGGATAATTACGTATATCAGTTGGCCTATTAGAAATATGGCAAACACAAAACCGAGCGTCACAATTAAATTAGATGTCAAAGTCATTCTGCGGCTGTAGCTGAAGTTCTATTGCCAAAATAATCGCCCCACACCGCCGCTCCAGCGTTAACCAGCTAACAGCGATTAGATAAACCCCCACACAGTCCCACACATTTGGCACACGTTACCATTTCCAATGTCATATCGCTGATTCCTGTGTCGTTGCTGCTGCTGCTGTCGTCGTCGTCGTGGTGGGCAGATCTTTGCCAGCGTTCGACTCTCGATGCGCACATAATAGCAGGCGATAGGGAGCAGGCAGAAGAAGAATACAATGAGAGCTAGGTAGATGGCCACATGGATACCAAAGTCAGATGAGTTCCAGTCCATGATGGGAGCGTACATACTCGTATTGGGAGCACTTCGATTGCCTACTGACCAAAGCCGGACTACATCCCCAACAAGCACTGGTTTCTACTTGAACGGCCATAGAGTTTTCTAGTTTCCAGTTTGGCACTGCGCGGCCATTGATAATCGCCCGATTAGATTATGCGCCATGTTGTGTGCAGCCCGCACGTACGGGAACGATAAAACTCCCGCCATATATAACCCCGCGATGACTACCCGCCATAAACTACAAAATGTCTGCACAGAGCCACTCCTAGAGAAACTTACAGGGTGCAGAGGACATGGCCATCCCTTCGATCCTTCGGCTGGAGGTACCACTCCGTACGCGAGCAGAACAAAACCTCTTGGCGATGCATATGACTGCGCACTTAAAGTCAAAATAATGGAACATTTATCAAGGGAATCGAGGAAAGGGGAGAAGGAGGTAGAGTATCACCTGCAGCACGGCATAGGCCACAAACCCGATGGCCAGGAGGATGAAAAACGTAATCACTGGGCCCGCTTCCATTTTGAAAGAAACTCGCCGAGAGACTAACTCCATCCCTCCCAATTCGCAATGTCTGTAAGGCGATTCAGCGAAGCAATAACAGAGCTAATCGCGGGACAGGGAGGCTTATCAAGTAACACTTCAGGGTTTTATTGATTTATGGGCAGCAATCGGGACAGGGACCGGGACCGGGACCGGGACCGGGACACGCTCAGACGACAAATACATACCAATGTTGGCAACGCGACGGCGGGGGCGACGATGACGTTGGTCCTGAGATCGCTGGGGAGGATTCGACCCACAGCATTTGTTCAGAATGAACCAGAGCAGGAACTTTGAGGGAATATCAGACGAGAACGTAAGAGGAGGCATGGCACATCCGGGAGCGGGTTAATACCTGCATCAAGAAGTAGACTATGGGCATCACCAGGAAAAGCACAAAGAAGGCTCCCACATAGACGATGAACAGATCCATTTCAGTGTCTAAACCACACACAATCGAAGCACTTGAGTAACCAGCCAATACTGAGCAGAGCAGTCTTCTGAGCGAGCGTTGAACTAATCTTATCGGGGCCAAGGAAGCCAAGTTATTGAAGTATTGATTGGCCAAGTCAATTGCCTCAACCGGGGGCTATCGCACTCGAACACCTTACCCTACCCCCTTGACCATACTGTTCACGGGGATGTAGGAGTGATCCAGGAATTCTGTCAACCTACCGCGTCGAGTACGGGCTCTACGCCGGCCCGGCTCCGGTCCGGTCCTCCACGCCTCGTAGCATGCCCACATGCAGAAGCGTAGGCAACAGAAGGTCACGGCACAGGATATGAAGGCGAGAAAGAAGAAAACTAGGTAGGGCGCAACGGCCGGCATTTTCGCACCGATTTTCGCGAGCGGAGCGGGACCTGGATCGGGTATACACGTAGGTAATTGTGTGCTCCTCTGTGAATGATATTCGCTCCATAGAGAGGCCTTTGGGCAACTGTTCATCCTCCATTCTGGCCGCAATCGAGCCGCCTCTGGCCAAGACTTATCAGCGACTGGCGGGGAGCGCTGGCAGCGGGGATTGCAGGTGCGTCAAGGGCCGTCCGCCTGATAAGCAATGCCGTGTATCGCCATGTGTCTGATAAGATACTCTGGGCTGTCTGTTTTTGTTTCTGTTCTGCCATGTTCTATTGCCATTTCATGTGACGAAATGCGTAAAATATACGAGTGCACACAGACAGCCCTGGAAAATGGTATCCACAATGCGAGTATCTGGCAGATAACTGGTAAATGGCAGAGAGTGCGGAAGCCATCAACACAATCGCTAATTAATTCAGAGCCAGCGTAGTGGAGCACAAAACTAATGTTCGGGTTTGCCGGAAAATCACAACCCCCCGACAATGGGGCATATGGGAAGTTTAATTCAATGCCACGACAGAATACCTCTATGCCCATGCTCACCTGTCCAACTGAGCGACGACGATGGGTATGATGCACTGAACCTGCTCATGGGCGTACTGACAGGTGCCGGCCTCGGTTGGCTGCATTTCCGGGCCACATATTTCTAGAACAAGTTGAGGATTCACTCATTCACTCACTCACACACTTAATTCTGAGTCCAAGACTTACTCGCAACGGGAGGTAGACGATTAAAACGAAGATGACAAGCAAAATCCCGAGCTCGAAATAATGGAGTTGATCGGACATGTTAGACAAACGGCAGTGGATATCTGTCCATCGGCTACAATATCGGATCGATGGTACTCAGAGACTGACACTGAGACTGAACCCTTACGTGCCATCTGCATGAACTGCTTTTGAATCGAACGAAATTCTGCGGGTCTCTGCTTTTGCTTCTGCTGTTGCCCCTCTAACAATAAGCAACGAATGATAGATAACCTTATCTGGGACTCAGCTGACTCAACGATTGTCGTTGCGAATGATGATGAATCGGTTGCCCGAGCTTAGTCCTCACCTCTGTCTGCCGTACTGGCTCCTGGCGGATCGATTCGATAGCTCTGCAGCACTCGGACTGGGCCAGCACCAGCACCAGGATCCGGACCAGGACCACGGTAACGTGTCCTACCCTGCTGCCGTGTAGGTTGACTCTTGTGGCGGGCGCACAGACAACACACCTGCAACGGCGAAGATCAATCACTGGGGTTGGTGCGCATAGGAACAGGAATAGAAATTCCGGGATTCCTGGAGCAACTTACATGCACGAGCACGGCCACAATGATGACTATGAGGAACCATCCCAGGCAAACACTCACGTAAAGTACCATTGCAACTAATCATCGGAGTCAAGACAAGGAGCGGGTACGAGTGAGCCTTCCAGCCTTGCCGTAGAGGCAGAAGTGTAAACAGTAACTGCCTCCTAATCACACGAAAAAAAGTCAAAGCCCAAAGCAAAACAACCCTTATCACGGTACGGACAAGCCTGTGATTAATGGTATGTGAACAGATATTTTAGCACTCGAGGAGCTCTACTCTATCAGCATTGCCATCTATCATTGCTATCTATGCCCCTATCGATTTCCTTACACACTCGCACTGGTACACACCTTCCGTCACAGAGTTGTCTCGCAGCATCGAGTTCTGCTTCGCCTTGCTTTTGTAGCAGAGCTGTCGGAGCAAATAGATTGGTTGGTTACGATAGAGATGAACAGTAGAGATTGGGAGCTGAACTTAAACTCACAAAGGATACCAGGAGGATCAGGAGGCAGATGTAGAACACGTCTATCAGTTGCATTTTTGCGGGCAGCCGATTGTTAATCGAACCGAACGGAATCTGAGTTGGTGGCTAAATACGGCGTAGAATGCCAAACAAGTGTGGTAATAATTTCTTTATGCTTATCGCTGATATTGATACGAACATTGACCCCCCTAAGAGATATCTTATCGGCAGGGAGAGCTTTTTGGGGCTGGGCAAGCTTTTGGGTGTGGACTTGCTTACCCTCGATGGCCAGCCGCAGCATCATCTCCTCGCGCAGGATGCGCTCGTACACCTGAATATTCCATTCCTCGACTTTTAGTTTAACGAACATATAGCACTCCTAGGGGGATGGCATGGAGGGAAAAGTGGGACAATGGATTGACAGAGAGAGAGAGTGAGAGAGAGAGAGAGAGAGAGAACGAAGCTCCTGCTGGGATGGGATCAGCAAACTTACCCGTCCAACCAGCCAAAGGACAATCGAAAGTAAAATGGCAAAGAACCAGAATTCCGTGAACATTGGATACAACTGAGGAATTTCGTTGGCAGACTTTCAATTTTTCATTTGCACAAACATACGTTTAGACAAACCGATGATGGGTTGCTTGGAGAGGGGTAGAAAGGGGTTAACTCACCCGACTCCCGGCCGTAGGCAAGGCAGCACAGACACTTCCAGTTGTGCGTGGGACAAACGTAGGCCTTGAGAGAAAAACCAATGATACGTATGTAAATATGCACACATGAGTTTCATCCCGCAGCAGAGATCCACTTACCCGCAACAGAATGAAGAAAATGAGCAGGAAGGATATGAAATAGTAGTACTCCACGAAAGACATTTCAGCGTCAGCCTTTACCTGAGCAATGTGGCAATGCAAATGAGTCTAGAGCTGCGGGGACACAAGCACCTGACCCACACCATCCAGAGTGTCTCTGATAAAGCCCCGATAAACAGAGAGATAAAGAGGGATGGGATAAATGCCTTGCATCACCTGGCTGTCGCGAAACTTTCGTAATTCGGGTGACCAGATAAGCAAATCAGATGTCTAATTATAGCCAACTTATGGTGTGGTGTGGGCCATATAAGGCAATCAGGAGGCTTGTAATCAGGCATGTGCTGTGCTCTGATAGCCACTATCAACTCTCCTTATTTTGTTTTGTTTTGTTTTTTAAATGTGGACCGCTTACCAGTACTTCTGATTCTTGGATCAGCTTGCCTCCTAGACGGGCTCTCTCTCGAAGTCTCCTCACTTCCAGCTCGCTTGATCTTGTTGTAAGCATTGACAAGGAACTGCAATTGAGAGTCCTATAGAGGCGTCTACACGGGTGGCTTTGAAACGAGTACTCACGACTATGATCAGAATGATGACCAAGATCAATATGGAGAAAGAGCTGTATTCCGCACCCATTCCTATTTATATTCCTATTCCTGACCAACTGCAAGTCTGTGCACAACAAGTGCTTTTTGACAACTGACTAAGCTCCCAATCAGCCCCCCCATTGCCCATTGCCCATTGCCCATTGCCCATATCCTTATCTTATCTATCCCTCTTCAAATTAGAGGCAAACCATCGGCAAACCATACAAATTAAATATGTTTAAATAAATCTTACCTCTGCCTAGTACCCTCCTGGTGGCCATTAACACAATCTGCAATAGAAAATATACATGTACATACATATATATAATCTTTCTCCTCTGCTAACTGTAAGCCAACTTACATACCTTGATGAATATGCCAATGCCCAGGCCCAGAAACAGCAGGCACGAATAGAGGGCCACTGACATGTTCGCGGTTAGGGTAGTCCCGGTGGTTCCGCCGATTCATATGAACACGGATTGCCAACTGAAAACTCTCTCCCATGCCGAACCAAGACAGAGTCCAAGCTGGTGCTACCTTTTGTACAATAATGCGATAAGGTTAGGACGGATTTGTAATCGTTGTGTGGTTCACAGACTATTGACTTATCGGTTAAAAATATTTTGAAACC